TATCTTTAGTTATTAACTAAGTATGAAGATGATTAACTAATTTACCCCAAACTAGAAGTAATGGAAAATTCACTATTTTGAAACATTATTTAGAATTTTACACTTTCAGATTTAGGATCACTAATATATTGTTTTAATTTTAAAATAGCATTATTTTGGGGGGATTATAATGTATACATTAGCTAAATTCAGATTATATATATATATATAATTATCATAAGTATATAGTTATATATCAAAAGCACCACTGTTTAAAAAATAAACAGGGACTATTTTTCATTATATGTTTTAAGATTTTGAACTGGGAAATTTTTAACTGACATTTGTTTTAATAGGGTCAAGAAAACCAACAATTATACATTCAGTTTTGAACATTTCACATCCATATTCTCTTTTTATAATTCCATAAAATAAGTATTGTTCTTTTATGTTTAAACATAAGAAGTTCATTTATTGGTCTAAGATCACATTTAAACTGGAGTCAATGATCAAGCCTGGTGATCCTAAAGGAGTCACATGTAACCTTTTATGCAATGCAAATTCATAGAATTTTAACCCCCATCATCTGGTGCCCATCTGTATCTCAACTGAAACTATTATGAGGACTCCAACAACTTGCATGTTTCTAAATTCAATGGCTTCTTTTCAGTTACCATTGGCTCTCTCTTCATTTTAGGCAATGGTGGCTACAGCTCCTTTATATACATTATAGTTTCCTCTTTCTTTGTTCTGATTGCCAACATCTCCTTTTTAACACAGTCTTTAATGTAGACACGTGTAATTCTGTCCTTGGCCCTATTACATTCTTGATTGATTTCAGTCTGTTGCTCAACTATCTAGCCATGACTTTCATTATGAACTTCAAACGCATCCTTCCATTCACTTTGTGGATTCCTTTGCCTTAATGGTCTGTAGAATCTAAAAACAAGTATTGTAAGATTGCCTTCTCATTTCCCACATTCTTTCTCTAATTGATACATGTGTGTCTTGACTGCTGAACAGTAAGTTTTTCCAGGAACTCAGGCATTTTTTTTTTTGGCCTTGATCCTCCCAAACATAACCTGGTGCCTGGCAAAAAGTAGATCCTCAATAATTATTTGATAAATAACAATAGAATGTTAACAAATATATCTCTGCTGTTAATGCTTAAGAAATGCAGTAATAGCAAGTGAAACATAGACTCACTGGTCTTGAATAAAAGTCTCCTTTTGGCTCATTATGACCAACATCAGATATTCTCTACATGTCTTTTTGTCTTTGTTCTACATCAGACTGCACTAAGGGCAAAGCTAGAGAATTATGTTGTTGGATTCATGTTTCTGGGGGATGCCAGAATTAAGGGAGAGTCAGGAGCGTGGTTAGAAGTTTTTGTTTGGAGCTTTCGGCAATAAATCATAGTGATATACAACTCTCAGTGGGTGGCAATATTGGAGTTAGGTGCATAGCTAGTGATTTGAGTCAAGTAAGCAAGTCCGCCTACAAACCTTAATGGATTTGAAGTCCAGCAGTTCGTTCATTAAAGATTAAAGTAATTGACAGAAACAGACTGTGAACCAAACCTTCTTCTCATTTCCCTTTGAATTATTAAACTAAACACACCTATATCCATGGAGCTGATGTTACATGCTTTCTTAAGTCAGGACCAACTATTGCATCAATCCAGGTACCCTACTCCAGCCGTATTCATTTCAGCAACACTAGTACACAACCATCTTCTGGAAATGAGATTTCTTCTCCTTGGTGCCCATTGCACAAAAACTAATTTGTTGACAATATTTGAACCGTTCTTGGAAACAGTTAGCTTTATAAAAGGAAAAGGCTTGAAAATTACATTTCCCTTCCAAGCAGCAATGCCAGAACCAAAAGAACCTCCCCTGCTTCCTCAAGTTATTCTGTTTCTTTTAATGGCTGTTCACACCAAATTTCCAAATCATGATCATATTCCTCAACAATATGAAAATTATTAACCCTGGGTTCTGGTACACCAGAAGTTAATTATGTCTTGATAACCGCTTCCATTCCCATGATGTTCTTAATAGTTCCTATATAGTTTTCAAAATTTTCAACCATCCCTGGAGTCCTTGTGTGTGTGTGTATGTATGTGTGTGTGTATATATATATATATATATATATATATATATATATATATACAAAAAACACACACATCATTGTAAGTATTTGGAGATACAAAAGAATTCTGCTATGTACATTTGGAATTTATACAACCTACAATCATCTTTTGCATTCCTCAATTCAAATTCAAGTAATAGAAATAAATTATCTTTGAAGAACTGATTTTAAAGAAAAATATCAGAAAGGAGGAGCAAATAGAATGCCAGCTCTAGAAGTCTGTTTTACTAACTGAAGTTAGAACTCAATATTTTACTGTGTTCCCAAATCCAGTGCCCCCAAAACAGTTCGGCATGTTTAACAAATTGTCAGAGTAGCCTTTCAATGTGAAAATGCTTATTACCCTGATTTTTCAACTACACTGAATATTTATACAAAGAGACAAAAATCTTCTTTCATATACATGTACAAATTCTCAATATGAAAATAATTCAGCTTAATTAGTAATGTAGGAAATTAAATTTGTTCCTAGGAAAAAATGGACAAATTAGATATTGCTTATTAGTCATTTGGTTCAGTGGACATCTACTAAATAAAATTATAGATTCTCTGGTAAAATGGACAAAGATTCCTTCATCCCAGCAGTTTTGTTACCTATTGATTTATTAAGTTCTTCAAGGTATATCCACGTCCTCTGCCCAACACTATCTCTAGCTTCTTATCTAAATACTTAAACTTAATTTTTGAAAGGCATCTCATTGCACAGGATGAACTTGAAAACTGCCAGCCCTGAACTCTTCTACTCAATCATAGACTTAACAAGTTTGAAAGCACAGAAAGACCAAAAAACATTTTTCCTCAAGGTCTTGGGATACAGCCAGATGAATGTTCACATGCTTGCACATACTGACCTGATGTTTTGCTTGCATTTCACAAAGGTTTCATCCCGTACCTTTGTTCTGAGTTCCATTCTTTCTTCTCTCCCAAATAATTAGATATGTTTTTGCTATTACTGACTCTAAATAGAATTTTACCAAACACAAAGCCATTTATTGTGAGATGTTATGCTAATTTAATTAACTGTTTGAACTAATTCCCACCTTTAATTTCTCCAATATGCTGATAAGTGGAATTTTTTGTTCTATAGTTGATAAGTAATGGGGGAGGTAAGAAATTGAACTCCATGAGGCCCACTTCAGAATTAATTCCAGTAATTTCCAAACTATATTTTGATACAGAGACTGAACTAAGTTGTTTTGGTTACCAAGAAAAAAGTGGAAGAGATACTGGTATTGATATGGTGGTCCCTAGTGAGTGAGGTATCACTAGAAGCAGTTACCACCCTTCCCATTAACACTGTCATCCCAATAACTGTCATCCATTTCCAAATGTTGAAAAGAAACAGGAATTTCTATGTAAATATAACTCAGGGTTTTCCTTTTTAGTTCAGTATTGTTAGTAGAAAAACAACACAAAGCACTCTCTTTTTCATGGGTTTTAATTCAAAATTGTTATTTGAATAAGTACTGGTATTTCCCATGGTGATGAACTCCACAACCACTATGTAAATTTATTTTCTCTTGCATAACTCACAAACATATGCTCTAATCTGTAGAGTGATTTCATGAAAGGTAGCTTAAATAAGCAGAAATCATACAGTATTTTGGTGAAGTTACATTAGAAGGTTATGTCAGTGATAATAAGGATTGGGGGCATGCTCAACATATAATCACAATAATTATCCAAACTACTTTGTTAGGAATTGTGTGTAATGACATGCAGGACTGAATTTACTATTGCTCGTTCCAATGAAGATAAAGAGCTACAAAGAGATCATTGGTAACAACAATACAATGAATTTTTTATAAAATATTTCTATTTTATGTATAGAGATATCACTTTTCCATAATCCTAGTCAGAAACAGCTTCTTAAAAGAAAGCTAATGAGCTTTTACAAATGTAAAAATGTAGCATCAATGGAACATAATTTTATGGAGAATAGTTCATTTTCAGCATTATTAGCCATTTATCAAATAAGTGCAAATAATGGGAAACTAGTTGCATTTCATCTAGGCCTACTATGGATCATGAAACTTAAAAATGTGAGACTGCAAGTATAGATCATTTTAATGATATTTATTTTTCTTGGAGAGGAAAATGTGAATCTCAGCCATTATCTATTGTGCTAAAGAACTAACAAACTGAATTAAAAGGATGCAAGGGAGAATGTAATGGAGACTACATTTTTACTTTATTTCTATATGTATAATAGTAGCAGTGAGGCTGGGGGTATAGCCAGTGATAAAGCATGGCTTAGCATGTGTGAGGCCCAATTTTCAACCTCTAGCACACACATAAAACAATACAAAACAAAACCAAAAAACCCAAACAGCTCACCAAGATCACAGAACACAGATTGTATCTCCTGTGTGAAAGTAACAATACCAAGCTAGTGCTATCTGGGAATGTGTGTTCTATTATACTTTTAATTATAGTGATATATTTCTACTTTTTCATAAAACTCTCATATCCCATCACTACATTCGTGGTCCTCTCTGAGACTAATAGCATGCATTTCCATGAAACTGGCTAAAACTGAAATGTAGGCAGTTACCATGAAATGCATCCACATAAACTTTGAACTCATAAGGGAATTTACCCTGTGATGTTGATGTCATTAACATTAGACACAAACCCCCTAAACTATCAATCCAGAGTCCAGATCTGACCCAAAACTATCACAGCCATGTGTTGCATGTTTGAACACCTGATTATGCTGATTCCTTGTTTCAATTTGTTGGGGAAACACATATAGATACATGACCTATAATTGTATCCAAAATTTACTGTTACATTAAAGAGTAGAAATTATTTTAAATGAACTAACATTGAAAAAAATCTCTTTCTCCTATTTTTCAATTAATTTTTAGGCCCTGTCGATGTCAACATTCTAGCTAAGTGTAATCCCTGCTTATCAAATCCCTGTAAAAATGATGGCACCTGTAACAATGATCCAGTTGACTTTTATCGATGTACCTGCCCCTATGGCTTCAAGGTAAGTAGATGCTGTCATGAGAGCCACAGTCTGGAAACATATCTTTTTTTCTTTTCTTTTTTTTTTTTTTTTTTTTTTGGCATGCCTCCATAATTCTACTATGCTTTCTCTGTGCGCTGTGGATGTCCTCATTTGTATTCAACCTAAAACTTGGCCATTCCTTCTACAGGGGCAGGATTGCGATGTCCCAATTCATGCATGCATCAGTAACCCATGTAAACATGGAGGAACTTGCCATTTGAAAGAAGGGGGAAAAGATGGATTCTGGTAAGTCATGAGGCTGTGATTTCCTTTGTCTGAAGTATTGGAGAAAGAATAACTAAGAAAACAGGCATTTTCCTTTTCAAACCCAAGGGCATTCTTTTAAAAAAGAAAAACAGAATAAAGACAATATGTATTGGTCCCTCCCAGAGGTATACTGCAATATTAAAAACAAATGGAGACTCCACAGGGTTCTCAGCTTAGGATGTTACAAATCAAAAATTTAAAAACATGCACATACACATATGATTAATCAAGTCAGATTAGGGCAAGACAAAGTGTTGGCTCAATTATGCTAATTAATAGCCAACTCTTCCCTTACTGCAAGTCCTGCATTCATCTGATAATTTGCTTATTGCTTTAACAGACAGTGTGCAATGATGAGATGTAGGTCCCACTGAAACAGAAAATTAATGATTCATTTCCAGGCCACAATATACATAGACAATCATGCTGTGAACATTTTAAATCTGGAATTATTTAATCATACAGTACAATTACTTCAGATGTACTTCATGAATTATGAAAGAGTCCATTAAGTGACATTAAGAATTTCACTTTAGAATGCTAATCTACTACTAACACTTGTTAGAATTGTCACTTTATAGAAGAAAAATACTTCATTTCTGTTACAAAATTTTCTCTTATCCATCTACACTTTACTCAAAGCTCATACTGATATTACTCGAGATTAAATATACAATATTTTGTGTGGTAAATTGCATTTATTGTCTTAGAGAAAATGTTCATATTTTGTAATTGCAAGGAAGTCAAAACTTAATTTTTACATTTCTTTTTTGTTGCCAGACATCTTAAACATTTCATATAGAGTAGGAGATGATGTGATTTTAAGAATCAGAATTAGTTCCTCCTCATTTCTGAGTAAAGAAGCATAAATTACTCTATTAGAGAAAAACTTGGAATTAAGATATCTATGATTGTGGAGTCAAACTTTATTTCTGTATCAGACCTGGAAATATTGGTTTTTAAGACCCTGAAGCCACTTACCATCTTGAAGCCAACATAAGTTTTATTTTTTAATGTTTTCTGGTTTGTTTGATATTACATTAAATCAATACTTACAACATGTCACTTCAAAACTTTTAAAAAACAAATTCTTATAATTTTATGAGCCCTATAATTTACAAATGTATTTATGGTTTTTTTTCAATATTTAGATCACATGGATTTAAAAACCAGCAAAAAAGATGTGAATTGTTTTTGTGTTTATTTTGCCTTTCTGCCCTGATATTCAGGTGTATCTGTGCTGATGGTTTTGAAGGAGAAAATTGTGAAGTCAATGTTGATGATTGTGAAGACAATGACTGTGAAAATAATTCTACATGTGTTGATGGGATCAATAACTACACATGCCTTTGCCCACCTGAGTACACAGGTATGAACACTGGGAAACATTATGCCATCAATCACTGTGTCTCTTTGAAAGCATCATTGGCACTATGCTCCTATTTATTTACTAATCCATTCTATTATTCTATAACTGGTAGGTGTTTTGTAAATTAGATATAATATAAATAATGGAAGGAACTAAGATGGTTTCAGACAATCAAATATAAGACCCAGCAAGCTCAGTGCAACATGAGTCCATTATAAAGTCATTGCTCTGCAGCAAAAAAGAATTTTTCATGTAGAAAGTTCTTATCCCACAATTCAATAGCATTTCCATTTAAGTCATTTTCCCCATACAAACCAACTCACCAAAACATATGTGAAAAGAGAGAATTTTTAAAATAGCCAAAATGTAATTAAACATTTGAGATACTTCGTCTATGTTTATTTTTTTACCAGCAAGTATTTGCTTCTAGTGACCCATGTCCTTCAAGATGAAAATCAGGAAGAGACTGAACATTTGGGATACTCTTACAAAGCCATCACCCTTTTTCTGGCATTTTGTCTCTGTGGGTGATAAATCTCATATGACTATCGAAATTGCTAAACTTCCACTCAATTTAAACCAATTTGCTATAAAATCAACATCAAGTTTATGGCCTATCTATTTTGACAGAGCATCTGTTTGACTGATATTTGTGACTATGAGTAAGAAAATTCATAGTTGTCTTTTTGTTCCTTAATCTCTTATATTTAATGGAGAAAAATAATTCCATATTATATTTTTTAAAAAAATAAAGAAGTACATTCTACTAGTCTATTGAAAGCTAACATTTCCATTTATCTGGATATTTTTATTAATTATATTTCCATTAAATCCAATACATAGTTAAGAAAATCAGAGACTGAAATATCTATAGATGTGGCTAAGGCTAACATCTCAAAACATTGAAGATGCACACACCTCTATATAGCTAACTTTCATAGGGTTTGTTGGAAAACCACTGAAATTTAAATTTTTATCAATACCTTTCTTGATGGGAAAGTATCTTTCATGATGAAAAACTGCTAAATACAATAATGAAGTTCAGTTTTAACAGCTCAGATCTGTTTAAGGGTCTCTGAAGCTGCATTTTCTGTGATTCAGGTCTTTTAAATAGGAGTAAGGCACCTTATGTCATGTAATGTTATACTGTTTTCAGAAGAAATGTGAGCATGCTGTATCACTAATTGTTCTATTACATGGATAGAGTGTTTATACTGCTTAGCAGGCAAAATTTGAGCATTCTTTGATATTTTGTATTAACCACGGGATAAGGATAGGAAATAAATCTAAACATGCACCTATAGTACAGGGGTTTGAAAGAGTTTAGGTGCTACAAAGCTCTCACTTCCACCAATAAAACTTATACCTCTCATACTTGGCATGACCCTGTGGCCACAGATTCTGGAGCCCTTACAGCTACTCTGATAACCTGAGGGCTAATTTGATATGTGTAAAAACCCAATGTTTGCACTAAAATCTGTTACTTAATACTGTCTTAGGACAAAAATAGGTCTCTTTTTCTGTCATTGTTCTGATCATTTTGAAAAGTGATTAAGAACCCACTTAATCTTGGAGACCTCTATAAACCAACCTACTGTGATTCCACCAGACAAATGAGACCCAAGCATTGCAAGCATAATTTTGCTATCTATGCCTTTTTATGCATGGAAACCAAGAATGGATGAATGAATATATATAAATATTTTCCCTTCCTGATGAAATCTGGGCTTGGAGCACAGCTGTGTTCAGGTTCTTGTATGTCTTTCTTACGATAATTTAAATAAGGTGGTAGATACTGAGTTGGTTTGAAGGGGTCCCCCTGCTTTGGCTTTAGCTTTGCTATTCCTTATTCTTTTGTTTTCTTTTTCTGTCTTTGTCTTATCTGCTCACCTTTCATTTCCTAGGCTCTCATCCTACACGTCTTTGACACATGTCCTCCCATCTTGAATGGTTCTATTCAGTGCACCTTCCTCTGAGAAATGTGACTTTCCCAACTACATCAGATCTCTTCCTTTAAAACATATCATAATAACCCAAAGCTTAGCAAAACCACTTCTTAGCCAAAATGTGACATTTATGAAAGCTGTCACGCAAGAACCTACCATTACTACCCATTAAGAGGTTTGTCTCTGCAGAGGAACTGAAACCCCTTTAGACTTTTTAGCTTATAACTATTACAAAAATTGGATTGCTTTAATTTGGGCAGAGGATCAAGAAAAATATTGAACTCAAGAGAAAGTGCATGACATACAAAACATGAAGATATTACCATTATAACCTTGGACAGGGTCTTGTGGGCCATGAAATTTTGACAGTTTGGCAGTATAGAAGATATCTAAATGGGGAAAATTTATAACTCATCTTTTAACTGTAGTGTTTTTGTGCATATGTGAAATGAGCTCATTTCAAAAATATCAAACAACCATCTGCATTTTGAAATCAGTGGCACATAAGTGGCCTTTAATTATAGGAAAGTATAAATCAGACTCTAGAGTTTTATATCCTGTTTCATCCAAGTCTTCAGTTAGGGAGGAATTTTCTTATAATGTAACTATATTGTGTTAAATTTAATTTTGGAATCTGATTAATGAGCATGAGATCTGGGAACAGAAACCCTGCTATGCTCAGGGAATATAATAATGTTGTCATTGTTTAAAAATCATTTGAGTCACAAGTTGCTTTTTGCTTTGAAGATTTTTCACTCTGCATGCCAAACACACACAATAAGAAAGTAAACTCTGTTTAGGTACCAATAGGTACTACCAATAAAACTTCATAGAAAAAGCTCATGAATTATTATGGTGTCAATGTTTGCATTGTCACCTATGTGAAGTTAAAATGAGCATAATGTTGTCAATGGAGAAAATCCAGAGATCTGAAAATAATCATGCAGAGCAATGATGACATGATGAGTGGGCCATAAACTGAATTAGAAGAGGGCTGCGAATATGGCTTAGTTGGTAGAGCGCTTGCCTCACATGCTCAAGTCCCTGGGTTGAATCCCCAGCACCACACACACACACACACACACACACACACACACACACAAACACACACAAAAAAATTTAAAAAGGAAGAAAGAAAAAAGAAATACTCTAAGGAAAGTGACCACCATTGGGTGATTTATTAAACGTTATTTCTATACTGAGTAACCAAAATATCACAGTAAGTAGTTAATGGTTTATTAGAAGAGAAAACTCTTGCTTTTTCTTCCTGAATAGATTTATAACATAAATCTTAAGGGCCACTGCTGTCATTCTGTCCTCACCCTCATCATCAAAACTGTTCTTCACTTCAGCCCATCCCCTGTCCAGCTAATTGCACAGTGCATGACTGAGGAGTATTCTTCTGGCAAGATTAATTTTTGAAAGGTTAAATTATAAATTAAAATCACTGTTCTAAGAATTGGGAAAGTAGAACTTGGAATTGTTAAATAATCTAAGAATTGATTCTACAGTTTTAATTTTAGCTTCAGATTTGGAGCTTGTTTTTTATATTTCTAACTCAATATCTTCTTCCTGAAAACAAGCCCCTTTTTTGACAAAAATATTCAAGAAATTTCTTAAACTGGCCAAGTTCAAAACCAACAAAAACATGAAATATGGACACCTTTTCTTGGGCTCTAGAGCTATATAGTGTTGAATTGAACAATGTGTTTTTTCATGTTTCACAACAGAAAAGAACCCTGGATCTGGATCTATTATGTCAAGACTAATGTGTCTTAAGTAACTCATTCCTCATGGGACCGCATACAATTATGATGCAACGCTGATCATATTTTAGGCCCTCATATTGCTTACTAGTATTAAATGAATTAGGAAAAAAGAAGATTTCCATACAAGTTGGAAACATAAAGTCTCAGAATCCATGTTGTGGAAAATATTCAGAACATTTTAATTTCTCCATTTTATGCCATATCGGTTTTTTTTTGTTGTTGTTGTTGTTTGTTTGTTTGTTTTTCCAAATCTCTAATGCCCACACACAAACCATTCACTGTGCATCTTAAATAGCCAAGCAACCAGTGTCACCTCCCCTGGTCTAGATGCAGACCTGTAGCTCCCTGTGATGGCGTTTACACTTTGCCTCCTTTCCCTCCATGTGTATGCTTTTGGCCCAGCTGTAGGTAAGAAATCTAAGCTTCGCTTTTGTTTGCCTCCTCACCCTGGCTTCTTTGTTAATGCTGCCATTGGCTTCCTGTGCTCTACTGTTGTATCGCGATGTAAAAAGTCTCTTGTCTCTTCTGTCTTTGTCGCTGCCAGCTGCTAATCTGAATGAGGTGGAAAAAGGTTAGTTGCCTTTTCACTCTATTATGACCTTTGTTTTAGTTTTCCTCTTTCTTTTAAAGTTATGTAGCCTTAACTGTGTGTACCTGATAAGGAATGTTTACAGAACATGAAGTCAGAAATCAATACCTCAAATCAGCCATTTAGATCCTTGATATGTGTATACCTGTGTCAAACACTGTAAAATGCACCTATGGAAGGCACTTGATACTTTTCTAGAAAGCTACAGTAGAGATTATCTGAGTGGGAAGAAGGAGTGGCTAAGAAAAGCACTAATATTTTCTATTTCCTTTTTGTCCATATGCTTTTACTTTTTTAAACATGTCATGGACATATATTATCTTTATAATGAAGAACTTAGGTCATTGATTATAATAGGTAAACTGTACATAGAAAATATTTAAAGTATATGGATTTTCCCCTAACTTTAAACCTATGTCTTTAGTAATATGAAACATGGAAAATGTTTCACTATATGTATTTACTGGAACATTTTATAAAAATGAATACTACAAAGCTCAAGAGGTTAATTTACAGAATGAAATAGTCAAAATTGTATTCAAGAATTCCATGGATACTTTTAAATTGTGAAAAGAGGCATATTTGATCATTGCCATCAGCATGGACCACAAGTCTCCTCCAAAGTATCAGAGCCCAGAAAAGAGAGACAGGGATTAGAGTGATAACCACATCTGGGGATTACGATGGAATCTTCTT